TAGCATGAGTACTGCTTTCAAGGGAGAAAAGAGAAGAAGAGAAAATCACTACCAATAATTGTTGGCACGAGATTATTTTAGAGCAGTTCTGTATTGCGTGTTACTGTTTGCCCTCAGGAATATAGACTGGCCTTGTGGCAGTGTTATGGCAGATACTTACAGCAGTTCAACATTGACCAGATCTCCATTGACGAAATCACAGAAATAGACCAATTTAAGAGCATCTTCTTTTCAAGTGGACTTGACGCAGAGAACACTGGTTTAACAGTATGTACAAACACTTTAATGTTTTCAAGATGAGAAATGATGAATTAATCCTTATATTCTTTGAGTTAAAGTTTAATCAGTTATAGATTAATATATTTTCTTCAGTTTTTGCCTTTTGTTTTTGATCCAATGTTATAACCTGGTAGGATGAGTTTCACCTGAATGATATCAGGGCTTAAAGGGTTACATAGAAACATAGGAACAAGAGGAGGCCATTCAGCCCCTCGAGCCTGTTCTGCCATTCTGCGTATAAGATCATGGATTCACCTTGAATCAAAATGGACTTGGGGAGGTTTAAAAATATCCTGTGCCTTTGCCAAAAGGTCAAAACAAGCAAAGAAAGAATAATTGAAATTATGGCTTGAAAAGATATTTTTAACTAAGTAAAAAGTAATATAATAAATTACCACATAAATTACCACCCGCAGGCAGTCACATTTGGCAGATCTATAGCAAACTCAAAATAAAAAGGTTATAATTCCGAGACCAAGCCAGGTTTCCAACACTAATCTATGATTTAATGTGTTTTTTTCTGTATTCATATTGCTGGAAATGATTCAAAATAGTAAATTGCATTCATATATCCTTTTCCACACCTACAGACACCACGGCAGTTTGACGGCAGTTTGTACAATGTATTTAATAATGTTACAAATATTTGTTAAGTTTTGCAGCCACTGAATACACTATTATTTAGTAGTTTGCACATTGTATATTAGTTTCTCTCACTCTGTTATTCCTTCTTTCACTTTCCTCGATTTCTCCTTTTTACTGGATTGTTTCTGTTTTCTCTTTTCCTTCTGAGTTAATGTCTGTACAGGTTTTTTTCTTTTTCACTCTCTCTTCTGTCTGACTGTTCATCCTTACCTCCTTCCACCAATTAATCCCTTAAAAAAAATGTGGCCACTCAATCCACGACTATGTGTGGGACACTGCTGTACGCAATTGGCTGCCGTGTTTCGCCCACAATATATACGGTCAATCCACTTCACAGTATAATCTGTGGAGCGCTTTGAGACGTCTCAACGACGCAATAAGGTGCTGTATCAAATGCAAGGATTATTCTAGACTATCCAGTGCCTTGGCACATCCTCCCAATGTTAAAGGTGCTATACAAATATAATTTTGTATTGTATTATATTACAAGACCAGAACAGGCATTTTTAAGTTTAGTCAGAAATGGTGGATTAATGAAAGTTAAACTCTTCTTAGGGATATTCAGTATCCCATAGTTTTGTGTCTTCCGAAAAATTAATGCAACTTATTTTTATTTGCTGATTTGTAGTTTCATGCTTTGCAAGGAAAGAGCATTTGCAATTACCAACTAGTAATCGATTCTGATGGAAGCTTGCTGAATCTGGAATCCATGAAAAAGTGCATGAACATTCTTACATTTCTGCGGCTGATCATGCAAGTTGTTTTGCCACAAGAACGGCTCTGCTGGCTGATTTACAATGGTACAGTATTACCTTGTGTACTCATTGATTCTTTATATTTATTTCATCAAATCTATACCAATACTTTTGACCAATGTGTATATATTATGTAAAGTATCTAATTGTGGAGTCTGTAGCTTAGTAGTTAACGCATTCACCTTGTAAGCCAGAGGACTCGTGTTCGATTCCCGGGCAGGGTGAAACTTAGGTAAGTTTCCTTACTCCACACGCCAGCAGTAAGTAGGAATCCAGTTGTTAGTCGATTAGTGCATCATATTTCCGCTCTTTAATTTTTCCAAAGAAAAAAATAATAATAACAATTTGGTCACTCAATCCACGGCTGTTTGTGGGACGCTGCTGTGCACAATTGGCTGCTGCGTTTCACCTACAGAATACACAGTCAATTCACTTTACAACATATTCTGTGAAGCGCTTTGAGACGTCTCAACAATGTGATAAGGTGCCATATTAAATGAAAGGATTATTATTATTAATATTTGTTTGATTATTTAGAAACTAGTATTGATGTTCTGAAATGCCATGTCCACATATGATAATCACAAATGAAGTACATTTTCTTGTGTTTGGCTATTATTACTACCATTCCACCACACCAAATTGTGCTATAATATGTTGATCCTAAATATAGTCTATAAAATATAGTGGAATTAGTAGGCTGTCAAAAGGATCCCTTATATGCATTACATGCATTACATACTCTCAATATTTACTTGAATATAGCTGTCATGTTGTGCAAACTTGTTTTTTCATCTTTTTTGTACATAATTTTTTTAATGTTTTGTGTCTTGCCATCATTTGAGACCTTATGTATAATTTACCAAAGACAAAATAGTGCTTAGAATTTCTTGTCAATCAATACTGCAGTTTCTTATGACTTTTCTTATGACTTATGGCTATGGGTAAGAGTGGTGGAGTGGAACTAGTTGGTGGCTCTTTCAAAGATGGGCCAAATCACCTGTTTCTGTGCTGTAAGATTCTATAATTCTAAGAAAGACTTTTTTGAGGTAAAATGCAATGTCTTTAAATTGTAATTAGTAATGTGCTAATGTGTCTTGGTGTCTTTTTAGGTACTATTCACATTTACACTATCTGTAGGCACTTGATGATTTTGGGACATTCTGCTAAGGTAAGGCAACCAAACACTGAGTCTTTCAGTGAGTCTTTCTGATCATGGCAATGTGGGGAAACAGCAGGAAAGTGGGAGGAATAAAAAGGAAATACAAAAACAATAAGAAGTAACATTTACACGGCACCTCTCACATCAGGAGGACAACCCAAGGTGCCGGACAGTCAGGGATTTGGACCCGAGCTGGGGGTTGGGATCAGGAGGGGTGGAGGGCAGGGAGGGTGGGGGTAGGAGGGTAGCCGGAGGCTCGGGTGAAGAGAGGGTCTTGAGTCATGCCTTGAAGGAGGCAACGAAGGGAGCAACGCAAAGGGACTGAGGGATGGAGTTCCAAAGGGGGGGGGGGGGAAATAGGTTTACGTAGTTTGCGGTGCACAGACATCATGGAGTCCTGTAGCTCAGTGGTTAGAGCACTCGCTTTGCAAGTGAGAGACCTGAGTTCAATTCCAGGCAGAGGGCGAAACCTCGGGCAAGTTTCCTTACTCCACACAGAGCCTAATAATAATCCCTCCAAAACCAAAAACAATAATAAATTGGTCATTTTCAATCCACGACTGTTTGTGGGACATTGCTGTGCGCAATTGGCTGCCGCGTTCGCCCACAAATATACAGTCAATTCACTTTACAGTGTGTTCTGTGAAGCGCTTTGGGACGTCCTCCCGACGTGAAAAGCGCTATATCAAATGCAAGGATTATTATTATTATAATGTGCTGGATGGTCTCTCTCTGTGCTGAAAATGTCTGTTTCTATGCAATGTGGACAACAATATCAGTTTGAGATAGGCATAGTGGTTTATTCTTTAATTAGATGATATATAAGCAGCAAATACTCAAGTATGAAATTTTCATTAAGAAATTTGTGAAATTATACCAGAACACAGCTACCTAGCAGTTTATTGTTATCCAGGTAATAGGGAAAATAAATCACTATCAAATAATTAGTTTTTATGAAGACATGATAAGGTGCCATATCGAATGCAAGGATTATTATTATCATCAGTTAGAACCAATAAATAACTGATATTTTCTAGTTACCATTAATGCTCATAATGGACACAAAATGACATCTGACTAAAACGCACAACTGTTTTGTTTGCACAGGCCTTTGAGTATTTACTGTGGGCGAGTATCTGCATGGAATCATCGGTCCCACTATTGACAGTTCGCTATCTGAAATGGAGAACAATTCTGTACGCTTCTGTGTGTCAGTGTTACTTTGACTGTCAGATTGACTTACATGCAGAGGTACTGTACCTTAGTAGTGATATAGCAATAAACCACTATCAAATAATTAGTTTTTATGAAGACATGATAAGGCACTATATCGAATGCAAGAATTATTATTGTTATCATCAGTTAGAACCAATAAATGAACTGATATTTTCTAGTTACCATTAATGCTCATAATGGACACAGAATGACATCTGACTAAATCCCTCACAATAAACCATCCACATATTAAATACATTTTTAATATACAGGTCCCTCGTCCCCATGTCTACAGTTAACACTCTTACCCAATAATAATCCCTCCAAAACCAAAAACAATAATAAATTGGTCATTTCCAATCTACGACTGTTTGTGGGACATTGCTGTGCGCAATTGGCTGCCGCGTTCGCCCACAAATATACAGTCAATTCACTTTACAGTGTGTTCTGTAAAGCGCTTTGGGACGTCCTCCCGACGTGAAAAGCGCTATATCAAATGCAAGGATTATTATTACCTCTTCTCATCTCGGTCGGGTTTTAATCCATCTTTACAAAGCACTTTTATAAGTTAACCTACATGAAAGGTACTATATAAGGTCAAGTTATTGTTTTTACACAACAAACTTGTTTGAATAGTCTTGTAAATATCTGCTCTAATCAAAAATAATAGTTAATAATAGTAATAACTTTAATTTATGTAGCACATTTCATGTAAAAATAAACGTTTCAGTATATACATACTTCCAATTGTAACATACATTAATTTATGAATTCCATGTCTTAATGGAAACAAAATAAATTATGCTTAATGCAATTTCAACTAACCTTTTGTGTAGCCTTTGTTTTGTGGTACTGAATGTTAAATTCTACAATTTTCTATTTTAAATTAGATATTTGCTCGTCGTTCTTTATGTAAAATTCAAGAATTAAGTCAGCTGGAAAACATGAGCTCCTCAACCATAAACCCTGAAGATGTCAAAATCTTTAAAGAATCTGTTATCAAGGTAAGAAGAACAGCAATGAAAGAATTATATGAAGTGTTTAGCATAGGAACAGGAGGAAGCCATTCAGCCCCTCAAGCCTGTTCCACCTGTACCTCAACTCCAATTACCCGCCTTTGCCCCGAAACACCTCAGACTGGACAATGTAACTGGATCCACAGCCATAATCCACAGGGTTTTGGGGGTGGGAGAGAGAGACTTCCAGATTCCCACTGGCCTTTGGGTGAAAAACTGCCCCTGAGTTCACTGCTAAATGGCCTCGCTGTAATGTTAAGACTATGGACCTTGTTCTGGATCCCCCACCAGAAGAAATAGTTTCTGTAGCTACCCTATTGAATCCCTTTATTATTTTCAAAACCTTGCTTAGATCAGCCCTCAACTTTCAAAACTCAAGGGTATACAGACCAAGTTTATGCCACCTGTCCTCATTTGAATTGTTAAGCAATCTGCAATATTACTTTCAATGAACCATGTAATGGGACTGAGAATGTTTGTGTTGGCTTTTTTGAAGATGTCCGTGATTATCTTTAAACGAGCAGTTATTGAGACCAGGAGAAAGCCTAAAGGACTTCTGCGACCCAAACAGAGGGTTGTTTTCAAAGATACTGTGAATGTGAGTTCTGTATTCTTTCATCTCCTGTGGCTTTTGCGTCTGAAGTACTATTCCAGGCAGAGAGAGAGAGAGAGAGCGCATTGCATTCCAACAATCTCTCTCTGGGATTTCCATGTGTAGGTGGGATGCCTGGAAACCTCAGCCTGGTTTGGAGATTTTTAAGCAATGGTGATGGGTCTGACATGTGTCAGTCACCCGGCTGACCAAAAAAAATGTCAAATGCAAGGATTATTCTTATTGAAGATATAATAATATAATAATCCTGGCATTTGATACAGCGCCTTGATCACGTTGTTGAGGCGTCTCAAAGCGCTTCACAGGATACATTGTAAAGTGAATTTGATACGGTCGACTACGCTATCCTCCTCCACCGCTTGTCCTCCCACCTCAACCTTCAAGGCCCTGTCCTTGAGTGGTTTAGGTCGTACCTCTCCCACCATCTTCACTTTGTTTCCACGAATGGCTTTTCCTCCACCCCCCGCACTGTCTCGTGCGGTGTCCCTCAGGGCTCTGTCCTCGGTCCCCTCCTCTTCACCCTCTATATGCTCCCCCTGTGGTGACACCATCCGCAGACATGGGGTTCACTCCCACATGTGTGCGGATGACACCCAACTCTACCTTTCCTCCTCTACCATCAACTCCACGACCCCCGATGTCCTGACAGCTGTCTGTCCGACATCGAGTCCTGGACGAGAGACAACTTTCTTCAGCTCAACGTGCGCAAAACTGAGGCCCTCCTGATTGGCTCACATCAGCGCCTCCGACGTGAAAGATGCTCTATAAATGGAATCCTGTTGTCGTTGTTGTTGAATTGACTGTATATTTTGTGGGCGAATCGCGGAAGCCAATTGCACACAACAGCGTCCCACAAACAGCCGTGGGATGAGTGACCAAATTATTATTGTTTTTTTTTCTTGAGGGATTATTATCAGGTGTATGGAGTAAGGAAACTTGCCCAAGGTTTCGCCCCCTGCAAGGAATTGAACCCAGGTCCTCTCACTTGTGATGCGAGTGCCCTGACCACTGAGCTACAGGACTCCAGACCTTCCTCCTCTAACTGTGCCTACGGTCACCTCCCCTCCCCCCGGCTCGCCGTCGTGTCCGCCACCGTCAAGCGCTCTGAGACGCTGCCCTGTGTTGTTATTGAATTTGTTCTTAACGTAAGTTGGGTTATTATTGATTGCAGTTACCGTGGCCCCACAATAGCACGGAATCGCTGTTGGCAGAGATGTTTGATGGCAGTGCAGCCCAGTTCCTTGCTATACTCGAGGCCGTGACAAATAGCTACCGGCGTGTGTTACACACAGGCCCCCCTCTCCCTGCTGAGACCGAAGTATATGACGTGTTGATGGAACTGATCCTAGCTGGCGTGGAGATCCTGGCAGGTACAATATCACAGTCTCTGCTCTACAACTTGTCCTAATGTATATAAATTGTAAATGTAATGTGGTGTCTGTCCTGTAGCTCAGTGGTTAGAGCACTCGCCTCACAGGCGAGAGACTTGGGTTGAATTCCCGGGCAGAGCGGAACATTGGGCAAGTTTCCTGACTCCACACACAGCCTCTGTTTTCAAGGCAGAATATAGGAACCTGGTTGTTAGTTGATTGACAGATTGTTGTTGGAGGGTAATAATCCCTTTAAAACATAGTAAAAAATAATAATAATTTGGTCACTCAACCCATGACTGTGTGTGGGACACTGCTGGCTGCCGCGTTTTGCCCACAAAACGTACAGTCAATTCACTTTGCAATATATTTTGTGAAGCACTTTGAGACGTCTCGAAAGATGTGATAAGGTGCTATATCTAATGCAAGGATTACATGGTTATATGCTGCTTACATTGCAGACACTGCAAAATAATTAAACCTACTTATAACTTGTGTTGCTGTTTTAGGTGGCGGTGGTAATACTCAATATTATATGACTTCCTCCACAAATCCTATTGCTGGAATTGTTGAACTCAAGTCACTTATAGAGATGGCATCTGCAGGTAAGAAAGTCAGCTTTGGGTTAGTATTCCCATCGGTAACAACAGCGATTAGTGTGTGGGGGGGTGGGGGCCGGTGGGGGGGCAGTGTGTGTGTATGGGGGGGCAGTGTGTGTGTGTGTGGGGGGGGAGCAGTGTGTGTGTATGGGGGGGGGGCAGTGTGTGTGTATGGGGGGCAGTGTGTGTGTGTGTGGGGGGGAGCAGTGTGTGTGTATGGGGGGGCAGTGTGGTGTGGGGGAGCAGTGTGTGTGTATGGGGGAGCAGTGTGTGTGTGGGGGGGGGGGGGCAGTGTGTGTGTGTGGGGGGGGCAGTGTGTGTGTGGGGTGGAGCAGTGTGTGTGTATGAGGGGGCAATGTGTGTGTGGGGGGGAGCAGTGTGTGTGTGGGGTGGAGCAGTGTGTGTGTATGAGGGGGCAATGTGTGTGTGGGGGGGAGCAGTGTGTGTGTGGGGGGGGGAGCAGTGTGTGTGTGTGTGTGAGGGGGGACAGTGTGTGTGTGTCATCACCCACGGCCTTGACATTTCCGACCTCAGCATAGTGGACAAGGCCATCTCGGACCAATTTTTCATCTCCTCCTCTCACATCCTTTCCTCCACCAAGCCCTCAACCATCCTCTACTGCCCTTGGAAAAGGCTACCCCCTGAGACCCTCACAAAGGCCCTCTCATCCTCAAACATCCTATATCCCTGGCCTTCCACCCACAGAGATCCTGAAGCCGCCGTCCAGATGCTCCATGATTGCCTCTCCTCCACCTTCAACTCCCTTGTCCCCCTGAAATCCAGGACCATCTCCAAACCCACCCGATCCCCCTGGTACAACAACCATCTCCAAACACACCCGATCCCCCTGGTACAACAACCATCTCCAAACACACCCGATCCCCCTGGTACAACAACCATCTCCAAACCCACCCGATCCCCCTGGTACAACAACCATCTCCAAACACACCCGATCCCCCTGGTACAACAACCATCTCCAAACACACCCGATCCCCCTGCTACAACAACCATCTCCAAACACACCCGATCCCCCTGCTACAACAACCATCTCCGCTGCCTAAAAACCCAAACCCGCCTGCTCGAGCGCAGATGGCGGAAAACTGGCCTGACAGTTCACCGCCAACTGTGGCTCGAGCATCTCCACAGCTACTGCCGTTCTTTGACTCGTGGAAAAACGGCTTTTACTCCAATATCATCTTGGAGGCTCAACACAACCCAAAAATCCTTTTTTCCACCACCCATTACCTCCTCCGTGGCCCCCCCTTCAGGCCTCCTCAATCTTCACATCAAATGCCAAGTGCGAGGAGGTCATGGACTTCTTTTCTTCTAAAATATTTAACATCCGCCATCGGCCTCACCCACCTGCCCCTTGTCACCCACCACCACACCCTCTCTGTCCCCCTCACCTTCCTCATCATCTGCTCCTACCTCCGCCCCATTCTACATTCCTTCCTCCCCATCTCGCCCTCCTCCCTCTCACCCACCATCACCTCCATGAAACCCACCACCTGCTGCCTCAACCCCCTCCCCACCAACTTACTGGTCACCCAGCTCCCCCTCCTCTGCCACTGCTGGCTGACATCATCAACCAATCCCTCTCCTCCGGATCAGTCCCTGCCCCCCTCAAAACTGCTGTCATCACCCCCCTCCTAAAATAACCCTCCCTGGATCCCTCAAACCCCAGCCATTACCGCCCTATTTCTAACCTGCCCTTCCTTGCAAAAGTCCTAGAACGCATTGTTGCCAACCAACTTCGCGCACAACTCTCCTCCCTCTTCAAACCCCTCCAGTCCGGTTTCCGCCCACAGTACAGAGACTGCGCTCGTGAAAGTCACAAACGACATCCTCTCTATCTGTGACCAGGGCTCCCTCTGCCTCCTTGTCCTCCTGGACCTCTCCGCCGCGTTCGACACAGTCGATCACACCATCTTCCTCTACCCCCTTTCCTCCGTCATCCACCTCAGTGGGACTGCACTCGCCCGGTTCGAGTCCTACCTCACAAACCGCCAGCAGTACATCTGCACCAACGGCTTCTCCTCCCGCGCTCTCCCGGTCACCTGTGGGTACTCCAAGGATCCATCCTTGGCCCCTCCTCTTTCTGATCTACATGCTCCCTCTTGGGGGATGTCATCCGCAGACATGGGGTACATTTCCATATGTATGTAGATGACACCCAACTCTATTTTTCCACCTCTCTTTGCGACCCCCAGTCCCTTGATGTTGTGTCATCTGCCTGTCAGATCTCAGGGGTTGGATGAGCGCAAACTTCCTTCAGCTGAACGTTGACAAGACGGAAGCCATACTCTTTGGCTCTCGTCAACGTCTAAAATCTCATGGCTCTCACGTCCTCCACCTGCCCGACCTCCCCCTAAAACTCTCCGAACTTGTACGAAACCTAGGAGTCAGGTTCGAACCCCAATTATCCTTCCTCCCCCACATCCGGTCCCTCACCAGCACCGCCTTCTACCACCTCCGACGTATTGCCCGTCTCCGCAAATACCTCTCCCCAAAAGCCGCTGAAACTCTGGTCCAGGCCTTTGTCACCTCTCGGCTGAACTACTCTAACGCCCTCCTCACCGGTCTCCCCTCCACTACCATCCATACAGCCCACATCATCCAGAACTCTGCCGCCCGCATTCTCACCCGCACCAAACCCCGCTCCCCGCTCCCCCAGTCCTGGCCCTCCCCCCCACCCCCAAACCCCGCTCCCCGATCCCCCCAGTCCTGGCCCTCCCCCCCACCCCCAAACTCCGCTCCCCGATCCCCCCAGTCCTGGCCCTCCCCCCCACCCCCAAACCCCGCTCCCCCAGTCCTGGCCCTCCCCCCACCCCCAAACCCCTATCCCCCCAGTCCTGGTCAGACTGCACCGGCTCCTGTCTCAGAGAGGATCCATTTCAAGATCCTCACCTCGTATTCAAGTCCCTGCGCTCCTCTGCACCCCCCGACCTCTCTGACCTCCTCTCTCCTCAGCACAGTACCCGTTGCCTTCGTTCCACCGGGTCTGACCTCCTCCTCGTCCCCCGAGTCCTCCGCTCCCCCCTCGGCTGTGCCTTCAGCCCCTGTGCCCCGAGGCTCTGGAACTGCCTTCCTCACTCCCTTCCCCTCGTCCCCTCTCTTCCTATTCTCAGGTCTCGGCTGAAGACCTTTCTTTTCGACCGCACCTTTGGTCACCTTCCTCCCCCTCCCCCCTCCCCCAGGCCCCTACCCCCTCCCTCAGGCCCCTCCCCCTCCCCCAGGCCCCTCCCCTGGCCCCTCCCCTGGCTCCTTCCCCAGCTCCTCCCCCTCCCCTGGCTCCTCCCCTGGCTCCTCCCCTCCCTGGCTCCTCCCCCTCCTGGCTCCTCCCCCTCCCCAAGCTCCTCCCTGGCTCCTCCCCCTCCCCTGGCTACTCCCCCTCCCCTGGCTCCTCCCCCTCCCCTGGCTCCTCCCCTGGCTCCTCCCCCTCCCCTGGCTCCTCTCCTGGCTCCTCCCCTGGCTCCTCCCCCTCACCTGGCTCCTCCCCTCCCCTGGCTCCTCCCCCTCACCTGGCTCCTCCCCTGGCTCCTCCCCTCCCCTGGTTCCTCCCCCTCCCCTGGCTCCTCCCCCTTCCCCGTGGCTCGGCCCCGGGATCCTAAACTGTAAAGTGCTCTGAGACGCCGTCCGGCGTGGAGAGCGCTATATAAATCCAGGTTGTTGTTGTTGTTGTGTAGGGGAGGCAGTGTGTGTGTGTGTATGGGGGGGGCAGTGTGTGTGTGTCAGGAGGGGGCAGTGGGAAGTGGACACTGCTGTATGCAATTGGCTGCTGCGTTTTGCTCACAAAATATGCAGTAAATTTACATTACCGGGAATCCTTTGAGACGTCTCGATGACGTGATAAAGCACTATATCAAATGCAAGGATTATTATTAATTATTTGCAGTGTTTGTGATCAGAAAATGGCATGATTTCACCCTGTCCTAATTGCTGTCTGTAGGAGAAGATGGAGTGTCAGTGGAGGGTGTTGTGAGGTTTGTGAAGGCTATATTTTGCTACGAGCACTGGGACATATTTGACAACATTATTGGCCCAGTTTTCAATTTCCTAACTGTAAGTGAACTTTATTGACACATCAACCCCAAAATTCTGAATATCAGTCAAACAAAATCAGTCGGTGTTTTACCATGTGCATTTTCTCCTGTGTGTGTGTGTGTGGTGCGTGTGTGTGTGGTGTGGTGTGTGTGTGGTGTGTGTGTGTGTGGTGCGTGTGTGTGGTGTGTGTGGTGCGTGTGTGTGTGTGATGTGTGTGTGTGTGTGTGTGTGCGTGTGTGTGTGGTGTGTGTGTGTGTTGTGTGGTGTGTGTGTGGTGTGTGTGGTGCGTGTGTGTGTTTGATGTGTGTGTGTGTGGTGTGTGTGTGTTGTGTGTGTGGTGTCTGTGTGTGTGTGTGGTACGTGTGTGTGGTGTGTGTGTTGTGTGTGTGTGGTGTGTGTGGTGTGTGTGTGTGGTGTGTGTGGTGCGTGTGTGTGTGTGTGTGGTGTGTGTGTGTTGTGTGTGTGTGGTGTCTGTGTGTGTGTGGTGCGTGTGTGTGGTGTGTGTGGTGTGTGTGTTGTGTGTACGTGGTGTGTGTGGTGCGTGTGTGTGTGTGATGTGTGTGTGTGTGGTGTGTGTGTTGTGTGTGTGTGGTGTCTGTGTGTGTGGTGCGTGTGTGTGGTGTGTGTGTGTGTGATGCGTGTGTGTGTGTGGTGTGTGTGTGTGGTGTGTGTGTGTGTGATGCGTGTGTGTGTGGTGTGTGTGTGTGTTGTGTGTGTGGTGTCTGTGTGTGTGTGGTGTGTGTGTTGTGTGTGTGGTGTGTGTGTGTGTGATGCGTGTGTGTGTGTGGTGTGTGTGTGTTGTGTGTGTGGTGTCTGTGTGTGTGTGGTGTGTGTGTGTGTTAGTCGGATGAAAATAGAACATGGAGGAAATATGAGCTGGATTTGGAACTGCTGCTCGCGATGGAACCTTTACTATCAAATCGGAAACCCAAACACGGTCTCCAGCTCAGAGAAAAATGTGCAGGAGGTACGGAGGTTTATTTATTGCGTGGAATATGTTGTGAAATATTTAACCTTTCCGTCCTTTCCTGATTCATTGACTGATTGATTGATTTTCTGATTGCTTTTTCTTCAAAATAATAATAATAATAAATTGGTCACTCAAATCCATGACTGTTTGTGGGACGCTGCTGTGCGCAATTGGCTCCCACATTTCACCCACAAATTATACAGTCAATTCACTTTACAGTGTATCCTGTGAAGCAAAGATTATTATTATTACCAGGTTGCCCTTTGAACATTTCCTGGCTTCAGGTTATGGTGGTCTTTGAATGGTTAGTGAATTAAAAATGGCTGCATAATTCAGCACTTTATTGCTGTAGTACCTTCACTGATCTAACCTAGAATTATAATTAACACACTGTACTGTTGCTTTTATTTAGTTGGGTCATTTGGGGCTGGAAGATCCAATCACTGGTGTGATGATTTTGTGATACTTGCGGAGACACTGTATACGTACACCTGCACTACTAGAGAGGTATGTATGTCCCATCAGAGATTTGATCCCCACATTCCTTCCTCCCCTCACATCCGGTCCCCTTCATCTCCGTCATATTGCCCACCTCCGACTGTACCTCATCCCCAACACAGCCCAAACCCTTCTCCACGCTTTCATCACCTCGAATGCCTTCCTCGTTGGTCTCCCCAGATCCACTACCCACAAAATCCAACTAACTAATTCAAAACTCCACCATCTATGTACTCACCGGCTCTGCGGCTTTATTCCTCACTCCATTAAGTAGCTGCTATGAAAGTTGTGGAGCTAAAGTGAGGCTAAGTACTGAACATAACGGAAGAAAAAGGAGAAAGGGGAAGGTAATTCGAGTTTCAGATAGAAGTGTGGCATTGGTGGAGGTCAGAGCTCCTGATTGATCAATCTGCTCATCCATAGGAGACTTATGTCCCAAGAAGCTCACAGAAAGCCAAACAAAAGAAGAAATCGAACAATAATGCACCTGGAACAATGTATTTTATTTGATAAATATGGCCATTTTTCTTGCAGAAGACATGTCAAGTATTTGATGGTGCAATTTTATTTCATTCACTGCAGAACTCTGTGCCTGATAAGGACATGGTGGTGGATGCTGTCCTGTTTCTGTGGCAGAAGTGTAAGATGGTTTTGCAGAGAACTCAGATTGGGTTGACAGATCCCATTAAATACCTACAGAAGATTGATCACTTTGGGAAGGTATGGAAATAATAATGCCTGCATTTTATGTAGTGCATTATCATGTCTTTGAGATATCTCAAAGCGCTTCACAGGGTATACTGTAAAGTGTAGTGACTGTATATTTTGTGAGCGAAACTGAGAATTCCATGTATTCCACCTACACGTGGAAATCCCAGAGATAGATTATTGGAATGGAATACGCTCTCTCTCTCCCTGCTTATCTAATTCTGGATAGTATTAGGCGCAGGTTGGTAAGAGCCAAGGCTTGGGGGAGCCCATAGTGTGCGTTGGGGTAACTGCTGGAGTCTAACCAGCTAAACCCACATAACTTGCCGTTGGGAACACTATCTGGCAAACCAAGGCAGGCCCTGACTGAGTAACCACAGTGATGTGTACTGCTACCTGGTGGTTTACACATGTATTGTAACAATAATCCTTGCATTTGATATAACCCCTGTTTTCAAGACGTCTCAAAGCCCTTCACAGAATATACTGTAAAGTGAATTAACTGTATACTTTGTGGTAAAAAACACGGCAGCCAATTGCGCACAGCAGCGTCCCACAAACAGTCGTGGATTGAGTAATCATACTCTTCTTATTTTTTTGAAGAGATTATTATCCCCGGAAAAGCCATCCACCAATTGACTAACAACTGGTTCCTACTTACTGCTGGTAAATAAAGGCGTGTGTGTGGAGTAAGGAAACTGGCCTAAGGTTTTGCCCTGCTCAGGAATCAAAACCAGGTCCTCTTGCTTGTGAGGCGAGTGCTCTAACCACTAAGCTACAGGACTCCAACCTAACTAAATCTAACTCCTGTTCATTTACTTGTTCTGCTCTTCAGTGCTGTGTCAGTGGGTAATCTTACCACTTGGCTGACAATGCTTTGTAATGGTATCTTTCAGTGGATTCATATCCTGTGCTTGACTGAAGAGGTGATTTGTTGGTGCAACATAGGGGAGATTGACCCAGCAGTGGTGGCAGAAGTGACCCTGTATTTAATAACGTTGCTGGAGAACCTGGTGGATTCAAATTTAAAACCCAGGAAGAAATCAGGTATAAATCTAATCTTATCTCAGCTAAACAACACTGATGAAGACAAATTAATTTTTTTTGTTGATCACGCGATATGATTTAGTTAATAACAAAGAGTCAAGTAATTTTTAGGTTAAAAACAGAAATGACATTACTGGGATATTAAAACAAACAACAGACTCTCTCTTGAATATCACTGTTTAGTAATCCAGTTATATTTATAATAATAATAATAATAATCATTACATTTGATACAACCCATTATCAATTCGTTGAGATGTCTACAGTGCCTTCATAGAATATATTGTAAAGTGTAGTGACTGTATATTTTGTAGGCTAAACAAGGCAGCTAATTGTGCACAGCAGTGTCCCACAAACAGTCATCGATTAAATGACCAGGTTTTGTTTGAGGGATTATTATAATTTTCACTTGAATAAAATAAGCGACTCAATTTCACTGGCACTTTTTGTCCAAAAGTACCAGATGAACATAATTTATTTTTTTGTTTGCAGACACTGAATTAAATATTATATGCCTGGGCAGATAACAGAAAGTGTTCATAAAAAAATCAGATGCACATCTAGAAATGTATGTGTTTTGAAGCACTTTTTATTGGCACGAATTAGCAAAGCTAGAAATAGGTGGATGTTTGTATATTCTTTAATTCATTGACATTTTGGGCAAATTTCCTTACTCCACACGCCTGATAATAATCCCTCAAGAAAAAAAACAAGAACAAATTGGTCGCTCAATCCACAACTGTTTGTGGGACGCTGCTGTGCGCAATTGGTTGCCATGTTTTGCCCACAAAGTAGACAGTCAATTCACTTTACACTATAATCACTATACAGTATATCCTGTGAAGACGTCTCGAAGATGTGATAAGGCGCTGTATCAAATGCAAGGATTATTAATATTTTATACAGTGGGAATGGACAATATTTCTTACAATGAGTAAGATAGTTACCATGTTGTGACTTGAAATGTTAGTATTAATTCTCTACACCTATTTATCTTTGCAGGTTTCCAGGTGCAGGATGAGAGCCAAAAGCCGGGAATTGAGCAGTGCTTCCCATCAAGCATCTTCAAGGTGAGTCGCACAATCACCGTCATCATAGAGCAATGTCAAAATTATAATAGTCCTGGAATTTGATGCAGCGCCTTATCACGTCGTTGTTGTTGTTGTTATTGGAGCCGTTTAAATTTTCAAGACTGAGGAAATATAAATGTTATTTCCTGCTCTGAATTATTTTACTGAGGGAAACTCTATGTGGGCACAATTTCCCATCATTACTGAACTTCACAGTTTGCAGCTGTTACAATAATGATCCAAATGTTGTGTTTTCATTTCAGAAAAAGCCAGTTGAAAAGATTCTTGTGGCCTGTAAAATGGCTAAGAAGGCGATCGATAGCATGGATGCTGCTCGCTTAATAGTCGCCTCATCTAATGCATCCTCAATGGTAGACAGTTCTCGTTTAAAGGTAAGGGAAGGATTTGGCTAACCTTGATAATATGTTATTAAGGATCGAGAGCCATGTTAGCAAGTTAATAATAATAATAATCCTTGCATTTGATATAGCGCCTTATCATTGCAAAGTGAATAGACTGCATATTTTGTGGGTGAAACACGGCAGCCAATTGCATACAGCAGTGTCCCACACACCATCGTGGATTGAGTGACCAAATTATTATTATTTATTTATTCATTTTTTTGAAGGGATTATTACACCCGGAAAAGTGATCCGTCAATCGATTCCTACTTACTGCTAGATAATCAGAGGCATGTGGAGTAAGGAAAATTGCCTAAGGTTTCCCCCTGCCCGGTGCTCTACAGCTACAGCTTGTTTTCTCTCCTATGAATCAGCAGCTATTGGGTCAGCAGGAAGGTTATTGGTGGCCGAGGGGGGGTCTAGACATACTATTGGCTCTCTGGTCACTGAACTCAGCTGAGAAACAGCTTCAGGATGTAATAGGAACCCTTTAGGGCTGGTGTCCTGAAAGTATGACTTGAAATGGGACAAATCTTTGCTCCTGAATTCAGTTTATTCTCTCTCTATCAGTGTATCTCTATGGGTGAGAAACAGCTTTTCCACCCAATGCATTGTGAAACGCAGATGAAGACTACAGATAAAGAAAGTTCCAACAAATCAACATCTATCCACAGCTTCACCATGGATTTACATCTGGAACTCATCCAAGCCTATCACAGACTGGCACTCAAATTCATCAAGTTAAGTCCTGGTAAGGTTTACATCTGCCTGCATCCCATTCCTTGTTTAGGGAGTCTGTACCAATGTTATCTTTGAATCAAATGTTTTCTGTTCTTAAACAGAATGAAAGCTCACAGAAGAAGCTGTGCTCCCCTTTGATATTTCTACCTGTCAGTGTATTTGCTATTATTAATTTACCATCAACCCATGTTCTTCTGTTTCATGTTCTAACATACTGTCACCTTTTAGCTTAATAAATAGTCCTTTTTAATGCATTTTTGGTTTGTTGGCAACCCACTATTGAATGTCATGATCCAATGCTGATTATCAACATTACGTAATGCTAATAATCTATGTGTTTGGAGTGTTACTATCAGGACTGGATGTGAAATAGAATGTAGCCCTTTATGCAGTAAAAGCAATGGATTATTTTGGGGGGCGTCAGCCGGGTGTCTGACACATGTGGAAACCCATCACCGTTGCTTAAGAGTCTCCAAACCAAACTGAGAATTCCATGTCTCCCACCGACACATGGAAATCCCAGAGAGAGATCGTTGGAATGGAATGCGCTCTCTCTCTCTCCCCGGAGGGACACACCCTGTTTACCTAATTCCGGAGAGTATTAGGTGCCAAGGCTTGATGGGGAACCTAGAGTGTGTGTTGGGGTAACTGCTGGAGGCTAACCAGCTAAACCCACACGTAGCTTGCCATTGATATTGCTGTCTGGCAAGTTTTCCCGCTGCTTTTCCAGTTAGGACCACCCTATCATTAGGGCTTTGGTTGCAAGGTTAACAGGAGCTGAGTGGGAGGATTTCCTGCCCAGAAAACCAATGGAGAGAGAGTGTGGTGAACAGGAATAAGATTTGATCAGAAGGTGAGACTAAATTTTCATACACAATGGTAACATTTGTCATGTGAGAAAAATAAACCACGGACCTATTTATATGAGAGCTGGTGACCCATCAGCTCTCATATAAACAAGCTAGTGATTTAAAAAAAAAGTGGCAAAATGTTTATGATAAACTATAAGTGGCTTCCGTTGTAATTTTTCCACTTAAGTGCCACAGAACCCGGAACCTAGCGTTCCAAAGTGCAAACCATCTTGGGCACGATCGACATCAAACGCTGCTGATGGTGAAAAACCCTTCATGTTTTCCAGAGGTAAAATCCCAATAGAATGATATGAAGAATTCCACATGTGTGACTATCAGGAATAAATAATGTATGACGAAATAAAAGATAATAATAATCCTTGCATTTGGTACAGCGTCTTATAGCATCTTCGAGACGTCTCAAAGTGCTTCACAGGATATACTGTAAATATACTGAATTGACTGTGTACTTTGTGGGCGTAATACTATTCTAGAATAGCTCTGGAACTCCATCCCCAGTGCCTTCGCCGCTTCCTCCCTTTCCTCCTTCAAGGCTGGTCTCAAGGCCTTTCTCTTTGCCCGTGCGTTCAGCTCCGCTCTTGACTCTCTACCCCCTCCTCGCTCCCTCCCTTCCCTCCCCTCACCCTGACCATTCCCCCCCTCCTCGCTCCCTCCCTTCACTCCCCTCACCCTGACCATTCCCCCCTCTTCGCTCCCTCCCTTCCCTCCCCTCACCCTGACCATTTCCCCCCTCTTCGCTCCCTCCCTTCCCTCCCCTCACCCAGATCATTCCCCCCCTCCTCGCTCCCTCCCTTTCCTCCCCTCACCCTGACCATTTCCCCCCTCCTCGCTCCCTCCCTTTCCTCCCCTCACCCTGACCATTTTCCCCCCAATGCTCGGGTCCTGACCCAACTGTACAGCGCCTTGGGACGTCCTCCCGACGTGAAAGGCGCTCAATAAATGGAATCTTGTTGTTGTTGTTGTATCTTGTTGTATTTTAGAGATTAGAATGAACATGACCTTTATGGAGTCTTGTAACTCAGCGGTTAGACATTCACCTCAGAGTCAGAGACCTGGGTTAAATTCCCGGTCGAGGCGAAACGTAGGGCAAGTTTCCTTACCCCACGCTACTCTGATTACCAGCAGTCAGTAGGAACCTGGTTGTTAGTCGATTGGCGGATTGCTTTTCCAAGAGTAATAATTCCTTCAAAACAAAAAATAATAATAAGTTGGTCACTTCAATCCACGGCTGTGTGGTACACTGCTGTGCGCAATTGGCTGCCGCGTTTCACTCACAAAATATACAGTCAATTCATTTCATAGTATATCCTGTGAAGCGCTTTGAGACGTCTCGAAGACGTGATAAGGCGCTTATCAAATGCAACAACAACAACAACAAGATTTCATTTATTGAGCGCCTTTCACGTCGGGAGGACGTCCCAAGGCGCTGCAAGGATTATTATTATCTTTTTCAGAATTATTTTTATGCGATGTTTTATGATGTCGTTTATGATTATTTAGTAATTGTATAATAATCTAACTCTTTGTGTTAGTGTTACCTTAAATAATACTTTTTGATAGATTTAAAGAAAAGGAATAAAGTATCTTTTTCATATTTCTGTTGCTTTGTCGGCCTCGCTGACCCACCCTTTGGACCTCTATTCCACAGTCCCTCTCCCTCCCTCCCTCCCTCCCTCGCCTCCTTCAAGGTCCGTCTCAAGACCCTCCTCTTCGACTTCGTCTTCGTTCACCCTCCTATCCCCACCCTCCCCGCCCTCCACCCCCTCCTGATCCCAACCCCCAGCTCGGGTCCACATCCCTGACTGTCCAGCGCCTTGGGACGTCCTCCCGATGTGAAAGGCTCTGTAAATGTCATTTGTTGTTGTTTTTGCTAAGAAAAAGTGTTGAAAGACTCATTTGTATTCAGGTGATATTCACTGTATTGACACATTACCTGTTCATTTGTGTCTTCGTCAGAGGAAGACATCATTGCTAACATCAAGAATAACAAAATATCAAAAGCTCTGTTTCTAATGCAGAAAGCTTTGTCGTTGCCCAACAAAGGACAAATCAGTAATACCCAAAAACAACTTCTTGAGGTAACCACTCTTACACATGTACATAAAACATCACTAATTAAATAAGTTATTTGTTCCTTTCAATCAAACAAATGGAACCTTCAGCAACTTTTGCTACATAATAATAATAATAATAATAACCTTTGCATTTGATATAGCGCCTGATCACGTCTTCGAGACGTCTCAAAGCGCTTCACAGAATATGCTGTAAAGTGAATTGACTGTATATTTGTGGGCGAAACGCAGCAGCCAATTGCGCAGAGCAATGTCCCACAAACAGTCGTGGATTGAAAATGATCAATTTATTATTGTTTTGTTTCGGAGTTATTATTATTAGGCTCTGTGTGGAGTAAGGAAACTTGCCCAAGGTTTTGCCCTCTGCCTGGAATTGAACCCAGGTCTCTCACTTGTAAGGTGAGGGCTCTAACAATTGAGCTACAACCATTGATTTTGAATCCAAAATCATGGGAATTCGCTCCGCGGTCACTTCCTCTCCAACATCCACCCACCCCCCACCCCCTCCCTCCCACACTCCGACTCCTACCCATCCTCCCCTGCACACTTTCGTACCCGTTTCCCCACCCTCTGTCACCAAACTCATTCTATCCCTGAAACCTACCACCTGCCCCCTTGACCCCATCCCCACTCCACTCCTTATCTCCCAGCTCCACCTCTTTGCCCCACATATCACAGACATCGTCAACCTGTCCCTCTCCTGTGGCTCTGTCCCCATTCAGACAGCACACGAGCTGCAGAGTTCTGAATGACCTGCGGTGTGGAGGGAGCGCCGGGAAGGCCGGCGAGGAGAGAGGTCCCATAGTCCAGCCTTGAGGTGATAAAGGCGTGGACCAGAGTTTCAGCCGGGTGAGGGGTGAGGTAGTGCCGTAGTCTGGCCATGTTTCGGAGGTGATGGAAGGCGGTGCCAGTTGTGGTGCGGATATGAGGGAGAAAGGACAGCTCAGGGTCGAGGGGAACCCCGAGGTTCCTGATGGCTTTGAGAGGTGGAGAGTGCGGAGCTGATGCTGTCAGCGCCTGAGGTGCGGAGGCGCTGACGTGAGCCAATCAGGAGGGCCTCAGTTTTGCGCACGTTGAGCTGAAGAAAGTTGTCTCTCGTCCAGGACTCGATGTCGGACAGACAGCTGTCAGGACATCGGGAGTCGTTGAGTTGAGGGTAGAGGAGGAAAGGTAGAGTTGGGTGTCATCCGCATACATGTGGGAGTGAACCCCATATCTGCGGATGATGTCACCACAGGGGGAGCATATAGAGGGTGAAGAGGAGGGGACCGAGGACAGAGCCCTGAGGGACACCACACGAGACAGTGCGGGGGTGGAGGGAAAGCTATTTGTGGAAAGATAAAGCAAGGGAGCAAACTTTTGAACGGAAAGACCTATGTAAATGGAGTGAGGTTGGCAGTCTGGTTGGACAAGGCCACCCTCACCCTCGCCTGCCCTAACTTTGGCGAGTGGGAGAAATTCAACCTGGAGAAGCACAACCTTCGGGAGTACATCGGGATCAAGGTGAACCCACCAGAGTAATATAGGAATCAGTACTCAGCTAATGTTATTCGTTTGAACTAATTATAATAATATAATAATAATTCAATGCAACATGCAGTGTGAGGGAGCACCATTTATACCAACTGATAGATGGTCATTAACTGCTTTGAATTGTATAGGATACATAGAAACAGGAGGAGGCCATTCAGCCCCTCGAGCCTGTTCCGCCATTCTATAAGATCATGGCTGATCTGTACCTCAATTCCGATTACCCGCCCTTGCCCCATATCCCTTGATACCCTGACCTAACAAATAGTCACAGCTGAAATAAAAATACTCCCAAATCAACAGACATAAATTGATATGATGTGTTGATTTTTTTTCAAGGTATTTCTATGATCAGACCACATTTAAATAAAGGTTGATTATTTTACAGGAAGTTGTGTCTGTGCTTCGGAAAGTGGAGGCTGAAGATAAAAAGCTCTATCATTTGAATAGGGATCAGAAATCTCACCCTACAGAAAACGAAGGTGTTGTACCAGCTCCTATTCTGCTTTACAGAGCACACAACTCCATGATATTCACACCAGCTCCGTTTAATTCATCTGAAAAGGTAGGTGATCTCTCCCTTTGCTCTGCTAGACCTTTAAGTAGCCCTGTAGCTCACAAGCGAGAGGACC